CTCAGCAATGAGGGCAGATCTGTGTTAGTGGGTTCTGGCTGGATGAGGCTGACCGTGGACCCTTCCTCGCCTGAGGACTGATTTCATCTGCTAAGGGGAGTAATGATGAGGTATCTGAGAGGTATATCAGACACCTGATGAGGCTTTCTCCTGGGTGTCAACAGGAGGCCTGGAGAGGACTGGAGTAGGTTTCTTGCTGTGATTTCACATCAAGTCCGAGTCCTCCCAAGATGGTCTTGTGGGCCACCTGCAATTCCATCCTACACTTTGAGAAAAGCTGCTCAAATCCGGTTCAATTCACTCCACATTGCCAAGGAACCTACTACATGGTGGTTCCCCACCCAGCCCCTATGTGGCCCAGTCCCTCGTGGCCTCAAGGTCCCTGGGGAGTTCAGGCCTGTTCACTAAGGGTCCTGAGCTGTCTGATGGGTGGTGGGAGGCCCCTCTTCCTGGAACCACATGTGTCCTGGAAAGCTCAAGAGAAGCAACGCAGACCACTGGGCTCTGAAGTATAGATAGGAGCTTGCCCAGTCCAGGGAGGGGTGCAGGGTGAGCAGAGGCAGGGCCGCATCCAGGCAGCCCTTCCTTAGTTGGGGTCCCCACCTTGGATTCTAGCAGGGAGATTTTAGGTGGCACTTGGGTGACCATTTTTTATTTTACAGCTTTTCATCTTAATGAGCATTAGGGGGTTTTTAAATTGCAGAAACACATGAAAATCAATAAAAATAAATTCAAATTGCAAACAAATAGACAAAAAGAAAAATACTAAGCAAATCATCATAAATCTCTGTCAAGCAAATAATAAATGAGGATATGCAAGAAAACCTCTTGTGTGTGGCCCATTGATGACCAGAAAGCCCTGGCTAGAGCATGCAGTGTGTCTAGAAGAAGTAGGACAAGAATGCTGGGAGCTGACTGGTGGCTCCAAGCATCAGCCCAATCTGGATCTCTGTGTGAGAAAGGCCACTGGGGGAGGGGGGGGGCAGACGGGAACCTGGACTGGTTCTCAGTTTTATACCCCAGCTCTGCCATTTATTAGCAGGAAAGTTGTGGCCATAGTTTTTCAACCTGTGAAATGGGAACAAAATACCCGGCCCATAGAATTATTAGGATGATAAAATACAATGATCATGGGAATTGCTTGGCTCGGGCCTGACTCCAGAGACTAACTTCTGTAAGAAGCAGCTCTCATTGCAATTATTGTTGTGTGGCTTGGGTGGGAGATGGCGCACCCCAGGGCAGAGGCAAAGGGGAGAGGGAGAGAAAGGAACAGATACAAGAGTAAAGCTCAAGGCAGGTGCGGTGGTACACGCCTGTAATCCCAGTGGCTTAGGAGGCTGATGCAGGAGGATCTTGAGTTCAAAGCCAGCCTCAGCAAAAGTGAAGTGCTAAGCAACTCAGTGAGACCCTGCCTCTAAATAAAATACAAAACAGGGCTGGGGATGGGGCTCAGTGGTGGAGTGCCCCTGAGTTCAATCCCCGGTAACCCCCCCCCAAAAAAAAACAAAAACAAAAAAAAAAACTAAGGCTCAGAGAGGTGAAGTGCCTTGCTGGAGGTCACTCAGGCGATACACAGTGGAGCTGGACTTGAACGTGGGTCTTCTGGGGCCTGCTCGCTTCTTGGTTCACTGTGTCTGGGCTGTTTATTCAGTTTTGAAAGTCTTTTTGTTGTTGTTGTTTTAAATAAAGAGCCAATTCTCTCTCATATCTCTGCCCCCACACCCAAATAAAAAAAGGGCTTAGTGCAGGGAAAGTTTCAGCTGGAAGTGAGCGAGAACTTGAGAAGTGAGCAGAAATGCTGGATTCAGCACCTCAGCCTGGGCCAGTTCATGAGGAGTGTCCCCAGTAGTTGAGTCCAGAGGTCACAACCCGATACCTGCTGGGCTGCACCTGGCTCACAGATGGGTTTGGAGAGGTTTGACCAAAAGATCCGTAATCCAGGCACAGGGGCCACAGCCACATGTGGTTGATGCCGATGAAATGGGTGTTGCCCCAGGCCCCACGGCTCCCTATTGCTTCCCTGATGGGGACAGTGACTGTCAGGGGCCCCTCTCCAAGGGCTGGAGGGGTTGCTTTCTCGACTTAGACCACTTCTGTCTTCCATATCACCTGGTGGTTCCCTGAAGACCTATGAGTCTGTGGCTACTGGTTTAGGTCTCCCTGGTCCCAAGGCAGAAAGACACATCATTAGAAGTTTTCTCACCAGCTAAGGTCAACTGGTCCCATTAAGAAACCACCTTCTGGCTCCAAACCTTCCTGAACCCGATTTTGCTTTGAATTCTAGCATGTTCCTACCAGAAGAAGGATCCTTGGAGACCGATATGCTCAGTGCTTCCCTTTTACGGGGGGGGCGGGGGGGACCGAGGTCCAGTTCACTGGCCAGTCGGGGGCAGAACCTCACCTTCCCCAGGCATCTCTGCCCAGGTGGAAGGCAGCCCTGGGGCTCCTCCCACCCACCTCAGCTCTTCTCATATGAGGTGATGCTAAATCCTTCGCCTGTTGGACTAAATGGATAAACTGAACCTTTAAGAAAAGTTCAGCCCACGTCTCTGAAGGCCCAGCTAACAACATCTGGAGAGACCATTTAAAAAAGGAGGCAGGCAGCCTTCCAAACACATGCAATCACACCCTCCCATCATAAAAGCTATAGGAGCTGATTATAGAACAATTTGAAAACGCAGCACACTAGGAAGAAAATTCAAATACTGCCCCTACCTGCCCTCCCCCCTCCCCCCGCCCTCGGGGTAACTACAGTGAACACTTTACTGAATGCCACTTGGACTCTTCCTAGGCTCACATACACTCTGAAGATCACACTGTATGGAAATTTTTCTTTAAAAAATCTACACCCGTCAGCAGTATGTGGGGAGGGGGTTTGGCTATGAAGGAGCCTCTTTGTGGGGTGGCAGAAATCTGTTGCGTATTGTTCTGGATAATGCTTACAGAAGTCCGTCTCTAGGTCCAAATGTATAGTCCTGTAACTTTTTTATTTATTTGATTAAAAAAATAATACAACAGTAATAGAGGCTCATTACAAAGACATGAAAACAGACATCTACGAACACAGCTGCTCCCTGCGCAGACACAGCGTCAGTAGTAGGTAGTTTTCTAGGTGTCCCAGCACAGACAAGGTGCCCACGTCAGTAGGAACAATGGCCCCAAGTCAGAGCACATGTCAGCGTCTGCTGGGGCACAGGTGGGCTCCTTCTCTGGCCTGGAGTGCGGAGGGGGGTGGGCAGGCGGCGGCAGCTTTGACTTAGCTCCCTTGTTCAGCTTCTCTCCTGCCGGGAACAGTTAAGGGTCCTGCCAGGCAGCCTCTCTGGGAACTAATGGAAACAAGTCGATTAAGTTTCATGGAAATCATTTCGAGGGCTCCACGTCTCGCCGACGTGTTTGGGTTCCTGTGGCCCTGGGCTGGGCTGATTGGGATGGCGAGTGGCCAACGCTCCCCTTTCCCTGTGCGCTTCCCTGACAGCCGATGAGCCCCTGGGGTTCAGGCCTGGAGCAGGTAGCGTGCTGGCCAAGAACACAGAGTCCTGGGAACTTGGAACGGGCTCCGCTTTGCTGGCTGCCCCTTAAATGGTTACAGTGTGTGGTGAGCAGAGCCAATTTGTCAAAGCCAGGGGCACCTCAGTCTGCCAGGCTCGCTCTTCCAGAAGTAAACAGTTTCCTGAGGCACGGTGGAGACAGGGAAGGACAGGGTGCTGGGCAGGCCACCCTTGGGGCTGGTGCCTCCAGGCAGAACAAACAGCTGGAGGCCCAGACACTGACTGCGTCCGTCCATCTGTCCGGGATGGCGCTGTTCCCTGTGTGCATCAGCCAGAGAACGTGAGTTGAGGGCCTGGCACAGTGGGTGCCTGGAGCCTGCTGTTGTCCCTGGGGTGACAGTAGAGGACTCAGAAAGGAACAGGAAAGGAACTTGGACCTCAGCTTTGCCTGGCAGGCTCACTCAGTATCAATTACAATGAAAACATGAACTGCAGCAGTCCCCCCTCTTTCCCAGAGAGCAGTTCCGATCAGGGCAGGGTGGGAGGTAGGATCCTGATTACACATGGGGAAACCGAGGCTCCAAGAGGGAGGAGAGTTTGGCCCGCTGTTTCCTAGGGGTTGAAGCACTGCAGTCAGCTACAGAGACGACCTCACTTATGTCTCTGGCCAGAACTTAACAACCAGGAACCACGTGGTCAGACAATCCCTACAGAGTTCTCTGATCTTCTGCAGACTTAGGAAGCCTTCCCCTGGTGATCAGATGTCTTTACCGCCTCCCTAATGTGCTGCAGTCTGGCTTTGGGAGAAAGGAAGAGACTGGCCGAGCCTTTGGGAAGTGTCCAAAACAAGACAAACAGGCAGCCCAGCTCAATCTGCATGTAAGGAAAGAGGCCCAGAGAGGGTAGGGACCTACTCAAGGCTGCGCAGCGAGATAGAAGCCAGGAGTGCCAAGGTCCCAGCCTAAATGATTGAGTGTGTGTATTCACAGAGGGTAGATGCCGCCCTTGACTTCCCATCCTTCCTCCTGTGGTCCTCAGGGTTGCGTGGGGTGACAAATGTCAGGGTTTAACCTTGCTTGATGAGGGTTGGGAGAGTGGGAAGAAGACACCGGGCTGTTGTGCCACCCAGAAGACCCCTCTCTGCAGCTCGCTGTGCAAATAGCTCTTCCTGCACTTTGGCACCAAGTCCCTGACAGCTGGGCATCCCTGAGAGCCCCCTGCCATGTCAGTGCCAGGTCCACCTTCCTTCAGAATGGCTGCGACATTCCTCCGTCCTGCCCCCCCCATCTTCAAAGTCTCTCTTTTATTTCCTTGTATTCGGGGTCTTCGTTTATAGAAAGGGCCCCTCTCCTAAATAAGCTCTATGTTGGATCTTTATTTCCATCTCCCTTCGCACCTCAGCAATTGATGGACCAGAGCTTGCGGTCAGTCAGGGGAAACCAGAATGGCTTCCATTACACTATTTAAAAGTAGAAAATCGAAGCCCACGGACCCACTTGCTGCAGACGGTTGACAGTCTCTGGCCTTCTCCTCTTGCCTGTTTTACAGATAGAAAAAAAATGTGGTTCAAGGAAGACTATTTTCCTGCTTCCAAATTTGCCGAGCACCTATTTTGTGCCAGGCCCTGGATCAGGTGTGGAGGACCCAGGGGTGAATCGGAGCCAGCGTGCGCTGTGCTGGCTTTCTATTGCTGCTGTCACCAATGGTCACACCTGCAGGAGTTTAGAGCAGCACGACTTTATTAGCCCCGCAGTCCTGTAGACCCCAAGTCTGACATGGGTCTTGCTGGCCTAAAACCACCGTGTGGGCAGGGCTGCATTCTTTCCTAAAGGCTCTAGGGGAGGATTCCTTTGCTTGCTCTTTACAGAGAGCTGCCCACATTCCCTGGCTCTTCCTGCTTGTTCAACGCCAGCAACTTGGCATCTCTCTGACCTTGCTTCCACAGTCACATTCCCTCTGTCTTCTGGACTATCCCCTCCCCCTCCTTTTTTTTTTTTTTTTGTACTGGGTATTGAACCTAGGGGTGCTTTACCACTTGGACCTTTTTATTTTTCATTCAAATCCATCTCATTAAGTTGCTGACACTGGCCTTGAACTTGCAATCCTCCTTCCTCAGCCTCCAGAGTCACTGGGCTTAGAGGCATGCACCACCCCACCTGGCTCCTCTCCCCCTTTTGCAAACCCTTCTCAGTATTCTGGGCCCACTTTAGACTCCTGGAGACTCTCTGGGTTTTCTGGCCGGATGATTGGCAACCTTTGTTCCATCTGCAACCTTAATCCCCTTTTGCCTGTTAAGTGACCCAGTCTCAGATCCCAGGGGTTAGGAGGTGGGCATCTTTGAGGGCTACTCTGCCTACTCTTAGGGATCCAGAAATCATAGTGGGAACTGCTATGATAGGGACACAGAGGAGGGGACACCTGACCCTTCTGGGGTCGAGGCAGGTACCAGGTCAGAGACGAGGGCTGACCTGAGCCTTAGAGAATAAGGAGCTGGCCAGGTGAGGGGGCAATGGAAGAGGAAGGTGTTCGGGAGGAAGGAACAGCAAGGGCAAAGGCCTGGAGGGGACAAGAGAGTACCTGTGCCATCGTGGTGAGGCATGGAGAGGCTGGGCCTGCACACATCCGGGTCGGGGAGCTGGAACGGGGGCTGCACGTGTCCTGAAGGCAATGAGGAGCCCTTGAGGAACGCTGAGCAGGGGACTGACATGTGGGAAATGTCACTCTGGGGCCTCAGTGGAGGTCTCTGAAGGGAGGAGGGCCCGAGGCCAGCATCCAAAGTGAGGTGATTCCCGGGAAGAGGTGGTGGAGACCCAGCTCGGTCAGGGACAGGGGACAGGCTGGTGGCAGGGGAGGGCAGCTCAACACGTGGGTTCTGGCCTCCTAGTCTGACGGGATGTTGGGACGTCCCTGGGCAGGGAGGGGGTGGAGGAGGAGCAGGTTTGGGAAGCTCCCCTGAGTGGGGTGTGAGCCAGGGGGAGGGGATAGGAGTGGCAGGCAGCATTAGCAGGGGCTCAGTCATGGAGACCTGGGAGGTCACAGGAAGTGCCCACTGCCCTTGTGGTTGCTACCATTACTTTTCATCCTCTCCTTCTGTTCCCCCAGGACCCTCCGTCCCTAGATGCCGCCATCCAGCATGCCTTGGCTGGCCTCTATCCCCCTTTTGAGGCCACAGCACCTACGGTCCTGGGTCAGGTGTTCCGGCTCCTGGACTCTGACTTCCGGGGAGACGGGTTGAGCTTCCTCTTGAATTTCCTGATCCCTGCCAAGCGCCTGTGTGAGCAAGTTCGCGAAGAAGCTTGTGTAAGTCGGGAGGTCGGTGGCGCCAGGGACAGTCTCTCCCAGAGGGCCAGGGGCTGGAGGGGAGCAGAAAAGCAGGTGGGCAGAGGGGGGTGTTGACTCATAGAAGAGCTGAGGACATGGATGGTTTTCCACATATCATTGCTTGTCAGCTCCCAAGTGGAGCAGGAGGGTCACTTGGCCCTTATCCTCTGACATCTGGGAGTCAATTACACGTGCTGGTGGCAGCAGGAGGAACCGCTGCAGAGAGGCTCTGGGGGGGATGCTGGTCCTTAGGAGCCTGCCTGGGGCCTGGCATCCTGGCCATCACCAGGCTCCTTGGCCAAAGTGGGGCACTTCCATGGAGATTACAGAGAATGCCTCAGAGCTCTCCTGGAGTCCCTGCGTCATTAGAATGTGCACTTTCAACTGTGAAACCCCTCAAACATAGATCCCGGGGGGCCTCTTCCATGGAAAAACAGAAAAAGAAAATTTTAGGCAAAACTTATGGGCTACAAATGACAGAGTCCCCTCTCAGACCAGACCTGAGCTACCCTTGAAGACCCCTCAGTTTCCGTTTCTCTGCTTTTCAGCATCATTCTAAAGAGCTGGGTCTTCCCAAAGGTTGCAGCTCAGGGAAACTCTAGGCTTATCAACCTGCCTTGGAAAAGGAAAATGAACTAACTCTTCCTTAGCAGCTGCACATAGAAAAAAAAAAATCTCAAGGAAGGATCCTGATTGGCCAGATTTGGGTCACATGTCCATTCCTGAACCAATCACTGTGGCCAAAGGAATGGGGGCATCAGGATTGATGAAGTCATATACCCACCTCCTTGGTCAGGGGATGAGACTGTTTTTAAAAAAGGATGGGGAGTTCCTTGGGGTCTCTAAGAAGATCAAGTCCTCTGATGCCTACAGCATCACACCCATCACTGGTTTGCCAACCGCTTCCTGCCATACTGTTATTTAATACATGCTGCCTGAGACCCCCACCCCTGACCAGTCCCCCACCCCTGGCCAGTCTTGCTCACTACCTGTCAGGGACATAGCTCACGAGGAGCAAAGCATAAGGGTGGGGACTGTGTGTGTCATTTAGGAACCAGGATGGAGATGGTTGGAACCAAAAAGAGAGAGATCATCCCTCCCAGCTGTGCCACACAGCAAGCACCTGGTAAATGGGAACGCTTAGTGCACAGGAACTGTCCTTGTAGGAGGGAGGGTGTCTCTGGAGACATCAGGAGGCTTCCACATGCTGACATTAGTTCATGGTGATCCTCCCCCATCCTTCTCCCTGATGAGCTTCACAACCGTCACTTCCTGTATTTGGTCATTAAAACCATATCTGCACTGCGCCCTTCCTCAGCTCTTTCAGTGTCAAGGTCACAGCCTGTCCACATCTTTACTTTTTAATTGTAGGCAAATTTAATTTGACCATAATTACAGGCAAATTCATGTCACTGCAGAGCAGGCGGGAGCAATGTGGGATCCACAGGAGGTCTCTGGGGTCAGGTGCCCAGGTTCAAGTCCCACCCCTATCACTGTGAACCTAGAAGAGCTGAACCTCAACTTCCTTGTGAGTAAATGAGAACAATAATGCCGAGCAGCCGCACCATGCATCACTGGGAGAGTCCAATGGGACAAGCAGAGCTGTCACCTCGGTGGTGCTTTGCCTTTTGCAAAACACAGCTGGAGTCCTCTGTCTTGTTTAATGAGAAGGCGAGGGCAGCATGCTGTGTGTGTGTGGGGGGGGGGCGCAAACATGGTCAGCTCTCACCATTGCCCCAATTAATAGTTCCAGGAAACTCCGGGTCTTTTGCACCCATGTCCAAATTGTGCAAAATTGTCTGGGATTTACTTCATCCACGGGATTCAGAATCTTTTCCAAAAGTCAGGTGGAGAAAGACCTGTTGTCCATACAGGGGACATTGTTACTGTTGTCCCCGCTGAGCATCTCTGTTGAACACTGGTCGGCACAGACGGGTAGACAGGGGGGCTTGGCTGGGAGGGGATCGTCCAGGTCAGGTCTGCTCCAGGCCTTATCTACCTATTCAGAGAATTTCTGGCACCTTCTCCTCTTAAAAAAAAAATTATAAATGATTTGCCTCACCTAGCCATGTCCTTACTTGCTAATGGGAAATTAAATAGATAATAAACAAACAAATAATGAGCATGCGACCCCAGAATGACTTTTGGGTCAGAATGAAAATGTGGAATGTCTTTTTCAAGGTCATCTAGTAAATAAGTGGCGAGGTCAGATCTCCTGTCTTCTCACTCAGTACTGTTCCTGCTTCTCTCTGCTGCTGTTCTACTTAAAAACTGGAGGATGACATAAAACAGCAAATTACTTTTTATTCGGATTGAAAATTGCCACACTTTTTTTTTTTTTAAAGATAAGTGTTGTCGAAAGGACAGGGAAGGAGCCAGGTGCAGTGGCTCGGGAGGCTGAGACAGGAGGTTCATGAGTTTGAAGCCAGCCTCAGCAGCTTAGCAAGGCGCTAAGCAACTCAGTGAGACCCTGACTCTAAATAAAATACAAAAAAGGGCTGGGGATGGGGCTCAGTAATAGAACGCTTGCCTACACATGTGAGGCACTGAGTTCCATCCTCAACACTGCATTCAGAAGTAAGTAAATAAAATAAGGCATGCTGTCCATCGACAACTACAAAAAGTTTTTTTAAAAAAACAGGAAATTAATATTTAGGGAGCATTTGCATATTATATGTTAAGTATTGTGTTGGCTTTGTTTTTAATGTTTTTATAAGTGCACTGTAGTGATATATAATATTGGGGTTCCTTTTGACAGAATCATACATGCATGGAATATAATTTGTACCATTTCGGTCCCTAGGACCTTCTCTTCTCTCCCTTCTCCCTTTCCCTGTTTCCCTTCCTCTACTCCACTGGCCTGCCTTCCTTCTTTGTTTTGTAACTTGACCCCTTATAGATACATGCAAATGTGGAATTCACTGTGGTATATTTATAGAGCATAATTTGGTCAATTTCATTTCACAGTTTCCCCCCTTTTCCTGTCCCTCCTCCTTCCCCCTCAATCCCTTTCCTCCCTCTCAGTCCCCTTCCTCTACTCTATGGATCTCCCTTTTATTTTTAGAAAAATAACATCCCACCCACCCACCCACGCTTTTCTTTCTTTCTTTCTCTCTTTTTTGCTCTAGCTTCTGCATAAGAGAGAAAACATTTGATCCTTGATGTTCGGAGCCTGGCTTAGTTCATTTAGCATGGTGTTCTCCAGTTCCGCCCACTGGCCAGCAAAAGTGTATTGACTTTCATAAATTATATATATATATATATATTCATAATTTTTTAAATTATTCCTATTTGCAGATGGGGAAATCCAGGCTCAGATAAGTTAAATAGTTTGCACAAATTAGTGATCTATACCTTCAAACCCACATTGCTCTGACTTTACAGCCCGGTCCTAGGGCTTGAGCTGGATGGGGAGCAGCATTGTGTAGATGGGGAGGAAAGGGTACGTGAGTCAGATAAGAAGATTTCACGGAAAAAAACACTTTGCAAATCGTGCCTGGCTCTCAGCGTTTGTCCCTTGGTGTGGTGGTCTAGAAAGTGTTTTCAAGGTCAGGGTCAGGTGAGGCAGAGTCAACCCTCGCACAGCCCTGAGAGCCAGGGCCCTTCAGTGCGGCTCCTGGGTACCTCTCTTCCCGTCTCCATCCCCAAGCTGTTCCGGATTCATCTGGAGAGGGCAGGAAGCGGGTCCAGGGCTGAGGATTCTGGGGTCCTGATTCTGTGACGTCCTCCCCCACAGGGCCCCTACTCCCACTGCCTCTTCCTGCACGAGGGCTGGCCGCTCTGTCTACGGGACGAGGTCGTGGTCCACTTGGCACCGCTCAATCCCCTCTTGCTGCGCCAGGGTGACTTCTACCTCCAAGTCGAGCCCCAGGAGGAGCAGTCCGTCTGCATGATGATCAAACGCCTCTCCCTGGACCTCCGCACGGTGGACAAGAAGCCCGTTCCCGAGTCATCCTACCCTGTGATTTTCACCCAAGAGTGGCTGGAGGCCATCAACAGTGACTTTGAGGGAAGTCCCTTACACAACTGCCTGGTGGCTTCCGAGAATGGGATTTCCCCTGTGCCTTGGACTAAGATCGCCAGCCCAGAGTTTGTGGATGACAGACCCCCAGCTGTGAACGTCCCCTCCCCAGCCTGGGGCTCCCTGCAGTTAGAGGCACTGGATCTGAGCACCCCCCAAGAGCTGCACCAGGCCAGCTCCCCAGGCAGCCAGATGCTTCTTGTCCCGAGTTTGGCCAAGAGCAGGGGCAGGACGTCTGGGGACAAGTATCCAGGCCTCATCAAGGTGGAGCAAGCCAGGCCTGGGGAGGTGGCCCTCAGGATGGACAACATGGACAGCCAGGGCTTGGCAGGAGACTACGTGGCTCTTCTGGACCCTTCCCAGGAGAGCAGAGGAGGGTCTCCCACTAAGGAGCTGGGGACACCTAGTGGCTGTACTTTGGGGGCACTGGAGGAACTATCTAGAACTGAGGAAATTCCTCTGTCCGAAAGACTACTGTCCCTCTCTGAGTCCAGTCGGGGCCCTTCCTTGGGAAAATGGGCTTGTGCAAAGCCAGCAAGCTCCGAGGATGAGCCCTGTGTTTTGGGCTCTAGGAGGAAGATCAAGAGCAAATCGCCTGCCCACGACTCAGACCCACAGCCCCAGGGACCCTGCCTTAATGTCCTCGGGGAGCCACTAGACTGTGACTCTGGCTTCAGGGCAGGTGTCTCAGAACAGATGGCTGCCTCCAAGGTACAGGGACCTCTGGGAAACCCAGAGACCACGGCCCAGCCCAGCCCTGGACCAAGGCAAACGTCCTCTCCCTACTTGTCCCCAGCTGCCCCGGCTGCCCCAGCCTCTGATACAAATATGGACAAGACCAAGCAAGAAAGTGGGAGACATCCCCAGCCCACGACGCGCTCCAGCCGAAACACCTCCTCCTCCAGGTCTCCCATTCCCAGACTCAAAGTCTCCTTCTTGAAAGGGCAGAGGCAATCCCCGGTGCCCGCGGAGAAAGCCTCGCTCCAGCAGGATGGGCCTTGGAGAGCCCTGTGCTCATTCTACCCTCCTAAACCCTCCCGAGCCAAATCCCCATGGAAAGGTAAGTTGCCCCGTGCTCCGCTGGACAGGGAGCTATCATCTGGGTACTCTGAGACCGGGGTACAGGGTGGTTCTGGTTGTGAGGGGCAGGGACCACTGGGCCGGCTTTGCTTCAGAGGTTTAGTGTAGCATGCTAGGGCTGGAAGGCTCACGGGCCTGGGATTCACTTGCCCAAGTTCACATCCTAACTTTGCCATGCACTGGCTGTGTGACCTCGGCTAGGTACTTAACCTCTCTGAGTTCAGGTTTCCCTCTCTGTGGGATGGGGATCTCATCTACTTGATAGAGATGCTTTAATGGTTCAAAGAGATACTAGAAATAAGGCTCTTACACAGGGCCTGGCATGTAGTAGGTCAATACATGTAAGCTCTATTGTCCATTCCAGGGTAGAAGACAAAACATTTCGCCTCAGAAAAATCCATCTTCTGCTTCACATCCTTTACTTTGTTATTGCTTTTCCCCAGATGGAACAACTCACACCAAAACATCTGGCCCTCCTGCTGACTCAGACCCACAGACTGGGGGAGAGGCTGGCTTCTCGGAACCTTCTGAAGGCCACCCAGGAAGAGGCCCCAGCCTGCAGGAAGAGTCCCCTGGGCCCGTGCCCAGGACTGGAGCCCTGGGTGTCGAGGTTTTCCACTCCAGGATAGCATGCCTGCCAGGTCCCGGGGGACTAGCAGGGAAGCGGAGGGAGACGGGAGGGAGCTGGAAGTCCCAGAGCGTCCTCAGACACGGGTGGGTGGAGAGGAGGTCGGGAAAGCCCAGGAGGCCAGTGTTCTAGCCCCAGCCTCCCTGGGCCTGCTTCCTCACCTTTCCAGGGAAGGATTTGGGTTAGATGAAAGCAATTCCTAGGTATCTATCCTCTAGCCATCTACTCACCTGCCCATCCATTCAAATCCCAGTGAGGCAGCTAAGATAGAGCTGGGTTCCCTAGAAGTGCAGCCCAAGACAAAGATGAGCAAGCTGTGGTCTGACCCCCACAGGGAGCTCTGGAGCCTGAATGACAGTCATTAACTGCAGGCTGACTCTGGATCAGTAGTCACTAACAGCAGGCTGATCCTGGATCTGTAGTCATTAACTGCAGGCTGATCCTGGATC